TGGTCAGCAAAGAATGTGGCATCAGGTTTACCGTAACGCCACAATCCACCAGTATTTTGTTGATGGGGATGTTCTCCACTTTTGCTGTAATATACAACGGTTTCAGGTGGGTCCTCATTTCTTCAGTGGGCCGTTCGAAGAAAGCGTTTTGCTCTTCGACACAGCCGTTGTTCATCACGTAATAGCATACAGGTTTATGTGCTGCCATTTCCCACTCAGGGTCTGCGCCTGGTTCTTCGACCTCTGAAACCCTATCGAACTCCCGGGGCATCACCAACACCATGTTGACCAACAGGTCCAAAGAGTCATTGGAGTCAAAGTTATCTGTCATGTCTTCGTCCCCTTCCATTGGTCTGTCTTGTTTAGGCGAAAACAGCCTTCGCCCAACTGGTAACTTTTCAGCTATCTTCGACTACTGTCCTTCTTTTTCGGGGGGGGGGGGGGGGTTGAACTATTCTTTGACTGATTTTTCTCCATCTCTTCTTTGAGAGCCTTTCTTCTTCTTTGCTCTCTCCTCCATTGAGATCTAGTCATAGGATTCTTACCTTTATAGTTTTCAGATACGTGTGTTGTTTTTGAGGATTGATACTCCTTGCTGTAGGAGACCGAAGATCCTCAATTCACTTCGAAGTTCTTCCACCTTTGCTTCCCTTGTGCCCTCTCTTCATTAGGCTTCCTCCACTTTCCATCAGCAGAATCGACAACAGGTTTGAAACTGGCGGGCCTAGCACTTGGTGGCCTGATTCGAGGTTCAGACCGCTTGTCTTCTGTCCTCCTGTGGTAGCTCTTTCGTTGATCAAAACCATGGCCACCCCTGTTCAGTCGATGTCAACGTTCTCCCTCTAACTTCTCTGCTTCTTTTCTATCGAAAATGGCGCTGCACCTGGGGCACAGCATCACGCTCGATCCATTGTCTTTGCACCAATGTAAAAAACCAACGATTGAATCTTCTGCCTCTGGGTATGCTAACCTGTTACATCCGTCATGGTGTTTTGATTCTTTCTCTTCCATGGTCTCCGATGGGTTAATGTCGACCATATTAACTTCGACCGTCCCATCCAGCTCCATTCTTTCCAAGACCTCAGTGGCCTGGTCCATTCTGACAAAATGGTCAGCTGTTTCCTTGGTTACCATGGCGTAACTTGGATGACTTTGAACCTCTAGACTTGAATCATTATCGTTTCGACCAGTATTCTCCTCGACTGTGACTGCCGCATCGTCCAAACCGAAACCCATGATGAATTTCGTCATCACTGGTGCTGAAATGAGGTCCTCAGTGACCTCCATCATGTTAACAGAAAACTCGATGCCCTTAGTAGCATCTATCATGTTTGCTTCCATAGGCTCAGCATAAAGAGCATCAGCCAATTGCAGCGGATCAGCATCCACCTTCATTTGGCCCTTCGCCTTATCTCCAAACTTCAAGCGTCCCTCCTGTATCGCATTCTGGACGAGATCCCTGAAAAGAAAACATTGAGATGTTTTATGACCCATAAAATTATGGTACTTACAAAAACCTCTCTTTTTCCGCTGCTCTAAGGGCGGTGTTTTAGCACCAGGCGACACTATCATTTGCCCATCTTTTACTAGCAAATCGAAGATTTCATCACATTTCGTGATGTCAAAGGTGTAAGTTTTCTTAGGGAACCTGTCGTTCTTTTCTGATTCGACAAAGCCCTTTCCTTGAGGAGGGGCCAGTACTCGACAAGAATATGGGGGACCCTGTTTTAATTCAGCAAGATCGACTTCGTTCTCCTCGAATTAGGGGGACTCTTCGCAAGCCCCTTCGCCACTTTCGTTGAGTTCGACAAAAGCTACTTTCTTGCGTTTGTTAAATCTCGCCTTTTTTTCTTTCAACCTTTCTAGCTGTCGGACTCTGTCGGCCAATTGGGCCATATCTCTCAGATACTGCGTATCTAATTTCTTCCTAATAGAGTAATCTAAACCTCCTGCTGCCATTTCGACCAACTCATGTTCAGGCACCTGTGTAAAACACCTTGCCTTAAGTAGTTGAAACCTATTGAGGTATTCTTCGATTGGCTCTGAAAACTTACTCTTTACACTGGCCAATTCTTTCAAACTAATCTTCGTCTGGCCCATGTAAAACTGTTCATGGAAGAGTCGTTCTAACTGCGTCCAGTTGCATATTGTACTTGGTGGTAAAGTGGTAAACCACGTGAAGGCATTCTTTGTAAGAGAATTTGGGAAGTATTTTATCCTAAGGCTTTTGTCATTGGCTATCTCCCCAGCATCAATTATGTAGCGTGCTACATGTTCGACGGTGGACTCTGTTGTGTCCCCTGAAAACTTAGTGAACTTAGGCACCTTGGTCCTAGGGGGTAATTCCGCTCGAAGGATGTAGTCGACTATTGGTGAAGTATAATTTGGCCTAGTAAACCCAGTGTTTAGGCCATTTCGATTCATGATTCTTTCTACCATCGTAGCCAAGTTGTTTTCGACTGCGAGGTTGTTGCGTCGTACTTGCTGGACCATATTGTCTGCATCCTGGTTTCGATTCACCATAACTATTTCTGGGTTTCTCTCGACCTGGACTCTGGGAGTTTCAACAACATAAGGGTCTATTCCTCCTTGGTTCTCTAAATTGGCTTCTGGCGCCACTCTTGGAATTTGTTGTGGAGTATTCTCCACAGGGGCTTGGTTCCTTTCTAACAGAGGTACCCCTATAAATTCAGTCAAGCGTGTTAACTGTGTCTCCAGTTGTTGGTTAGCGTGAGTTGTGTCTTGAATTAATGGCTGAAAGATCTCACCCATAGTCTGGGAGAGGGTTTGAACCATCTGTAAGTTACTCTCATCCATCTGCTGCCTCAAACAGGCAACGAACGTATTGGTTAGATTGTGACCTTGAGTCGAATATCCTAGACTTAAACTCTGAGGGTTTCGACCAATGTTTGAACCATGTCCTGATCCTTGCAAAGGTGACGCCATTTTGTTTTCCGAAAATATTGGGGGCGCATTTTGCAGCCCCTGCATTACAGTCGTTAACATCCCATACGGGGGATTCCTAGGCAACTGCGAAAGACCAAGAGGGGCAAACTGCCTTGACACTGATGGTCCTGCTATTGGAGTTTGGGGATTGGACACTGGTGGCCCAATATACTCCAATACGGGATTAGCACTGTCCCACTGGGCGTGCCATTTTGTTTCCCTTGAAAATCGGAAAATAACCGCTGATCTTCCAAATTTGACTTTGGTGACTCACGGGATCGATCAGATTGATCCTAGGACATGTGATAAAATATTCTACATTTAGAATTAGATTTAAAGTACTTGTAATAACGAATTGATAAATGTGCTTGTAATGAAAAAGACTTCGACTGGGTATTTTAAAGTGCATAAACTTAAAGAAATGCTGTAAAAGATTTGTGAAAGGCTGATCGAAGAAGGTAAAAAGTTTAAAGGAAAAGAGGAAAAGTTGCAGTAAAGGATGCAGGAAAGGTAAAGGCAAAAAGGTAACACTTGCACAAGTGGTTCGACAGAGGAAATGTAAATATTGTTGAAATTGTAAAAGACTTTATTGAAAAGTTGGTGATTTTACATAACATACATTCTCCGTGAAAATACTCTTTTCTCACACTCGGGTACTTTGAGTAAATTTGATTGGAGTTACTTTGTACAAATGGTAAAACACACCCAGAAATCTGTCTAACAAATCCTTATTTATAATGCTAATAATTAACTGCTAATAACTTCCTAGTATCTCCTCGATCTAACAAGTGTCAATTGCATGTAACTTCCTGCTCTAGAACTCGCCACGTGTCTTATGAACAGAACCGCTCCCTCCAAATTTTGAATTTCAAAACAACGTAGCAATCCTCCTGCAGAATTTCGGTCGAACTACCTCTGACACGGTCGAAATGCTCATAACTTTAGGTCTCTTAATTTTCCAAGTTATTTCAACCGTTTAGCTTAGAAGATTCCTTAGAGGCTGTCGAAACCTCTTTGCTTCATTTTACTTAGACATTAATTATGTCTTAATGCTTAGAAACCCAAGGCAGTGTCGAATTTAGGAGCTAACACAAGTGTAAGAAAAAAAATTCACAAATGCGCTCGATGATTAATTGAAAACAAAAAATAAGAGTCAAAAGAGTTAATCAATATGTTAATTCAAAAGTTAATTCCTAGTCTAATTTAAAATTAAAAGTTATAATCTAAATATTAAAACTAAAACCTAATTCTAAAAATAAATTAAAAATGTAAATTGAAACCTAAATCCTAGAATTAATTAAAAGCTTAATTCTAAAGTTAATTCTAATTGAGATAATCCTAATTTAACTCTAAATTAAAATCTAGGAATAAACTAATTCTAAAGTTAATTAAAGACTAAACCTAATATAAACCTAAAACTAACCAAAACCTAAGTCTAATACTAAATTAATTCTAAATTAAACTTATTATTAAAATACACCTAAACTAATCTAAATTAAGCTAAAAATGAAATACTGGAAAAAAAATAAATGAAAAAAAACAAAAGAAAAGGTGAAGAGATCCCCTCTCTCTCTCTTCCCACGAATCTTCTCCTCTTCCCCATGCCTGTCTCTCCTCCTTCCCAATGAAAGAATTTCTCCCTCTTCTCTCAATGCTTTATCTCTTCCTCATACCCAATTTCTCTTTTCCTAGCGCCTTTTCTCCCTTCCCCACACCATTTTCTCTTCTTCCTATTTTTCTCTTCTGAATTCAAAAACAAACCCTCTTTTCTCACGAATTTCTCAATCTTCTCCCAACTCTTTCTTCTTTTCTCTCAATGAAAATATCTCTCCTCTCTCAAAATCGTCTTTTCATTTTCCTTATCTAACTTAATCTGGATTTCAAGCTTGGTGTTATCACCTTCGCCCAAAACCACCTTATCAGTTAGAGAGAGGAACCTAATTTTGTCCAATGCGTCAGAAGCATTTGAAATAAGCTCCCTAAGGAAGATATCTTTGTTACTGTAAAGCGAATTGATGAAAATTTCCATAACCCGAGAAACTTCGGCTTAAAACTCAAACTTCCCCGAGTTGCTTCGTAGCGATCTCTTCGAGATCGACTCCGCTTCTCTTTTTTGCCACATCTAAATCGGTTGAAAGTCCTTGCGGAATAACGTCGATCTTGTCTTCCACCTTAGGTGGATCTACAAGCTCATCAGAATTATCTTCCGCATTCGCTTGAAATTTTTTTTTACCTTGATCTGCAACAAAGAGAAAGAGAATACAAAGAAGAAGAAGCGCGGAAAGGATAGTCCTCTTCCTCATTGTAGTGAGTTTTCATAGTTTCTAGTAACTTCTAACACTGATATTTATCTTCGTTAAGTTTAGGTTTTGAGTTTTTGTTTTTTGGTGGAAACATAGGTTATCGTTCGAAGATGGAGATTGAGAAGAAAACCAAAAAGGTTGAAGAATAATATTGGAGAGAAAAAGGTTTTTTTTCTCTGTCTTTTTCGTTCTCAGTTTTCTCTTCTCCTTCTTTTTTCTACTGTCTCCTCTTTTAAACATCCAAAAAAAAATCAACTTGTTGATGAAATTTGTTGGTACATCAAATTACAGGCTGGGGTCGGACGCGAACAAGTAGCGGTGTACCAGTTTTGGGTCTGTTTTTCTTCTGCAAAAATCCTGCATTTTCATAAATGCGCAACAATGTTTTGTCTTATGCAACAATTTGCTTGGCATACTATGGTTACCATGACACTTACGTGAAAATATGGTATTGTACCATTTTATGGTTTTATTGCATCAAAGTTATTTCCATTGTAGGTTTTTACAACTGACACTTGATGTATATGGGGAATCTTGAATTTGTAACATGGGCCACCCTTCCTTATGAAACATAATAAATATGCTGCATAATAATAAAAAAAAACTTTTATTTGGTTATGGGATATGTATCAATGCACATTATTTGAGTGACTATTGTTTTGGGCAGCAAGTTGTGTGTTGGTACTGGATTGTTGTTGTGAATGTGAATTTGATTAAAGTGGATATGGTTTATTTAACATGGAGATGGATTAGAAAGTGATTAAATTGGATTAACAAAAGGATATAAAAATGGAAAATGATTATTTGTAAAGTAAATGGAAATGGATAGTGAATGGATATGGGTAATAATAATGGAATTTGTTTTAAAATGAGTATTTGATATGGGAATATTGAATGAAAGAATGTGGATTAAATAAAAATAATATGTTTATTTGGACATAATAAAAATAAATAAATAAAAATGGATTCAAAAATGGTTAGAATGGATATTGGATATTGGTATTTGGTAATGGAAAATGGATTGGATGTGAAAAAGATTAGAAAATATGGTGTAAAGGGAAATGGAAATGGAAGAAGGGTTTATGGTAGAAAAAATGGACTAGAATGGATTATGAACTCTGTTTAAAGACTGAATAACCAAATGAATCCAAAACCTATTTCAAGCCTTTCACCAACATCCGATTAAATGCACACAGCTGCCACTGAACAACTCACAAAAGAAACAACAACCATCTGAGTGAGCCAACCTCTAAATCTCCAATCAAGAGAACCATGAATCATCTCGAATCTGTCTAGATAAGTCTCTGGGAAAATAAATCCACAGAGGAGCATCGTTTGAACTGATGGATTATGATAAACCTGATAACTTCCACATATGACAACTTGAATTTAGGTACACACCATTGTGAAAACAAACAATGCATAGATAACTCGCAACTGAAGAAGATTCTTAATGGTTTGACCATGATTAGGTCAAACTTCCCTCTGATATTGATCATGACCGAACTACCACGCCTGACTTGAAACCACGTCACCGCTCCTGATAAACCTGACCTCCTATCCATGAGAAACAAAACCTGATTCTGAACCAACTAGCCATAAGATTTCTAACCAAATTGAACTTACAGACTGATGAAACCCTAAGCCCTGGATGCCTGACAAATCTTCGGAGAATGTAAACTTGATACCCGAAGATCTGATACAAAGAAGACTCCTGATCCCATGTCTTAGAAGATCGGTGTGATGTATGATTATGAATTATATACTAATGACGATGCAAATGAGCGCGAAGCAAAAAGCCAGTCAAAGATTAGAAAAAGGGTGGGCAAATTTTGGGGGGCTACAGTGATTTGCAAGCTAGCTGAAGCATATTTGGTTTTGGTATGTCTGCCATTTCTTATTATGATTCCAAATAATGTTTTTCCACTTTTATGAATCTGTCCTTGCTGTTCTGGCTGCCACTGTCTGAAATCTGTTACATTCCCAAATTGTGCATATAAAACATTTATATGTGGTCCCCCTTTTTAACAGAATTTGAATCATTTTGAATTGCTCTAGAAAATATGACATGAATCAAATCTGAGTTGGACTTTGGTATGAAATGAATTGTACATTTGTAGTTTGAAAAAGTGACATGAACTTGAGATAATTTTAGTTATGAAAAATGGATGAATTGGAATTGTGATGAATGGTTTGTATGAATTATCTTTGGATGGATTTTGAACAAGATCAATATTTATCTTCGAATGTGAGAAATGATGTGCAAAGTATGAATCAATTTTGAGTTGAATTTGGAGTGAATTAAATTGGGATGTATGTGAAGTTGTGTGTGAATATGAATGTCATAAAGTATGAGTATTATGATATGAATATGTGGACCTTAAAGTTTTCTTTGAATTGGATATGAGAATGGTTTTAATGTTTTGGAGTGGCATGGTTTTGAATTTGGGGTTTTGAAATGGCTTGATTTTTAGTTTGCTAATATGGTTTTAACTTGTATTTTGTAGGAAGTCAATGCTTGACTTGGAATGGAAGAAAAGCATGAAGATGAATTGGCTTGAAAAAGTTTAGGATATTTTATAATCAAGATAACAAATTGTGATCTCCTTGTAACTAGGATTGTTACCAAGTCTTGTTTCATCTCCTTGTAATTTGTTATGGAATTGTAAACTAGAATTGAATTTTGGATTTGAACTATTGAACTTGGATTTTCTTTGTAACTTTTTTTTATTTAAATTATTTTATTTGAATCCAAATTGTATGATGATATTGAAATTGATTCGGAGTTTTTTTTTTTACTTTGTCATATAACTCAACTATTTTGGACATAGTTCGCCTAGCCACTTGAAACACCCTTTGCGATTCAAAAAACTTGTTGATTCCATGATTCCAAACTCTTGTGCAACTTTGGTCTTTAATTTGAACTTGACCCTCTTTGAACCCTTTTTTTTATTTGAACTAAACCCAAGGGATTTTGATACCTTTATAATTATATTTTGGAGACCCACTTGAAACACTTTACTCATGGCACGAATCTAGTCATGGCTTCCAATTATGGCCTGAAAACACTTGTAAACAAGGTTGAAAAATAAAATAAAACAAGACCAACCTTGGAACAAAACCCTAACCATAAGTTTAAATCATTTGAAGCATGACTTGAAAGTAACTTGGGATATGGACTAACATCATCTAGAATCGTTTTGAAATACGACTCAAAATCGAATGGAAACCAAATGATAAATCCTTGAACTTCTAGTAGTTCATTTACCAAGGAGTCCATTCAAATGCGTCTCTTAAACAACCTTGATCAAATTGGGCACATGGACTCGCCTCTCCTCAAAAATATCTAAACCAAATTCTCCATAATTAAGTCAACTTGACGTTTATCAAGATTCCAACACAAAAGATAAAAAAACCTTAACCTTATTGCCTTGAATGCACATTGATGAGGCAGTGACCTGAAAAACCCTTGGAAAACCCTAATTCACTTTCTCTTGGTGAATTTTGATAGAAAAGAACTTTACAGCTTGGTGGAAAGTAAATTTGCCCTGACCAAGAATCCAAAACCCTAATTCCTAAACACGATCGACGAAAAACAAAATGAATTATTCTTAAATGAGGGAAAGGGTTTCACATGGGGGGAGAAACCTCAGCTTGCACAGAGTACTTGGGTCCCACGCCTTAAAAAACTAATGAAAAGCATGATTTAACCTAATGAGATACATATATGATGAAAATGTTGTAATATGCAAGGTACGACAATTCAGGGTCAAAATTAGGGTGTAACAAAGGGGTAATTCCTAAAGCTAATCAAAACAAAAACTTGCCTAAACCTAAGGGAGTGATTAACTCACAAAAGTTCAAACATAAAATTTCAATCAAACTTCTTCTTTCATCCCTAGTGTTACACCAAATACACCTTACTTATTAGCACAATTATTTGATACTCTTTTTGTTTTTCTTTTTCAAAACTTTTCTCTTTCTTTTTTCTTTTCTTTCTTTTTTCTTTTCTTTCTTTTTTCTTTTCTTTTTCACAATCGCATAGCAATGAACAACATAAGTGAGCAAACATTGCTCTCCCCAACTTGAATTTAACCAAAATCAATGTGTGAATACTCCATACTTTCTAAGGCAAGGTAAAAATTCAAACAACCACACATGGTTGAGGGTTCAAGAAAACAAATAATCAACATCCATTAAAAAAAGTGAACTAATACTCATAGACAAGCATCAAGTTCAAAAACAACATGGACATTGACAAAAAGGCTCAAAAGGGGTTAACAAAAGTTCACACACTCACAAGGTGAATTGACTATTTGATTAGGTAGTTGTGCTTAATAATCAAACAAAATACCTTGATCATTTTCATGATTTCATACAATAAACATAAACAAAAGATTAAACATAATAAAATCCAATTAAAACAAGAATTATGGCCTCCAACATATATGAACAATGGAAAGCTTCCTCACATTTAGGGGTAAAAAAGAAACTAAAGCGATTCAATCAAAAAAACAAGTAATGTAAAAGAATGAATGACATGAAATTTGTACAAATGAAAAGTTTCTTAAACATCTTATGCTATAGAAAGCGATAAACGAGTACCTGACGTGTAAATATCAATGCTTGAATACCTACAAAAATGAGATGAAAATAATTAAACTCAATGATATTTACACAAAAATACTAGTATACACTAAATATACACTTTTACAAACAAAGTGGGGTTTTATTCAAAGAATTCAATACAAATGAACCGATAAGTGCTTCAAAACTACTAGTCAAAACACGACATTTCACCCTTAGAGCAACTTCCTCTTCAACGACGGACAAAAGCTCTTCCTCAAACAAATATGTTATGAGTTGTTGGAGTTTGAAGATGATTGAGGCATCCATCTCTGGCATAGGAGTGAGAATTGAGGCAGAAGGTGGGTTACCAGAATTTCATCTGGGTTAAGAGAGCTGTTGGAGTTGGTGTCTTGCAAGGATGGGTTGGAGGT